TGAGTCCTCGGTGGATGAACGTAATTGAATGTTTTCAAGTTTCGCCATGAATAATTTCACGAAAAGCGGTCTCAGCAGAGACACCATGGTCACGCCATCCAATATACCTCCTCAACTTGAATTGAGCATTGTACGTACAGAAATAAAGCATTTGTTTTAGGTCATCCAAACGGGTTGTACATAACTGCATAAGTATTCAATCGTTTCGCCGATGGAAACGTTTGTGAACAACTAGCTAACGTCTAGCGAGATCTTTGTTCGATCAACCAAGTTTGTCACGAATTTTTTTTCACAAAGGTAAATACGTTTTTGACATTGTTTCGCTAACCCGATTCGAGCGGGTTCTGATAATCTGTCTAACCATTTTGCCAGAGCATGAGATGGTGAGTTGTACATACCCGAAATCGGTCCCAACACCATTCGATTCCGAAGCAGTGATGAATATTGTGATGTATTCGCATGAATACGAACTGTTAGTTCCTCTGTTGTACTGTTTGAAATGTGATCTATCTATTTTACAAGTGAATCCAACTACAAACTGATATAATATCTTATTCGCTTATTGTAATTGAAAACTGCAGTACCGGAAGGATCAAATGAGAAGAAGCGAACTCACCAATACACCAATTAGGAAGTGCCGGTGCTGGAGGGCAATCTTCTTTGCTTCCATAACGTGCGAACAAGTCTTCCAAATAGTCTGCCTTATAGATACCTGGGGGACGTGCATCTGCAAATATTCTCACGGCAATATCAACGCTGAAAGGCCGTTAGGAAATATTATCGCTGAAATCAGAGTTACCCATAGTTTAATTCCTCGACAAGGTAAGCAATTATCATGAAACCGGTTCGATTGAATCCGTGCGTGCAATGTACACCTATGAGTGGACAAAGATATAACAAAATAGAATCGAACAACGGAAATCGTGAGGATGAATGAACCACTCGGATTTCACAAAAATACTGACCAATTTTTTCATCTCCAGAATTGGAATCCAAAAACTGATTGACCACTTTGACAAAGAGGTCAACTTGTTCCGGGGTTGGTGTTTCCTCGTTCCCCTTGCACTCAATTTTCAAGTATTTGCAGTTCATGTCTGAAACTTCGCGTCGGTTGTAAAATCGTCTGGATTTCGTCAGGTCCACCACCAGACCTAATTTATACTGATTTCGTGACTATAAAATCACTTTTCTTAATTACCGGTTCACATGCTTGAAATGCATCGTCCACATGAAATATGTGATCCGGTTCCATAAAATGATCGAATTTCGAGTCCAGCGGGGTCTTAAAAGGGATGAAAATATCCAGAATCATGTCACCCATCCGAGGACAATTGAGCCATCGCGGGGGTAACATAGGCATTCGACAAGAGCCCATCTAACTAAAAGGAATCAAAATTTATCAAAGAGTTATGCATATCCATAATAAAAGACCACGTCGTACATCACATGTATAATATATAACCTCGAGAGGTTTTTTACTGCACACCTTTGTGTGGTGAACAGCAGACGAGGCGAACCCCATAGTCACGAAGACCTGCTGCTCCGTCATGGAAACCGGTAACCTAAACCCCGGGACTAGGAGTGGCGAACTACATAAGACCCCAATGGGTTACGCGTGGTATTAAACCGGACGACAGCCGAGCTGGCTACCACCAAAGTTGGGTGGGGCTAGAATCCCGGACCATAGGGTCCAAAGTACGCCAATGACAGCGACTAAACCACTGCGCCACTACCACCCATTATCTGTTTTACACCCTCACTTGTTTTAACTCGATCAGTTCGAGGCTAATTCAGCATCGTAGAATATGCTAGCTGGTTACATCCTACGCAGCTACATTCCCCTCATCGGGGCTGGATCTTTCTAGTTAGGGGACCAAAATGGACTAACATGGTACAGCTAGGAATGTGGTGCCTAAGCAGGCACTCCGTTGTGCTGTGATAAACGCATTGATTAATCACCTGTTTAAGCCGTATAAATGAAGTGTTCTACAATGACTACCCAGCTGGGAACTGTAACGTGTGGACAACTGCTACCCGAGCTATTTAGGAAGCCGACTTACCTTAAAATGGGGTTCTCGTGAAAAAGTAAGTAAACTTTGGAAGTTACGAAAACCACAGTTACACTTGCCGACTTCATCCAGACCTAAAACGGAGAAAGCTACACAGTGAGCATTTCTATGGTTCCTGACAGCGCAGNAAATCTAAGTTGTCATTACCGGTTAGCTATATTCTGCTACCAAGGGTGATCTAAACTTGCTTCATTAGACATTTCTAAAGCTTCAGATCGTGACTGACGCCATGAGCTATGGGTAAAATTGATTTTCGGGGTTCTTCTGGTGCGTCTTAAATTTTGAATTTTCCGAATCATCGCAGTTTCTTTTCGAGTTGATGAGTCACCTCGTCAGATTTTCTCTGGGACGAAAGTGTTTTCACTTCCCAGTACTGCAGCACAATGTGGCGCGGTTTTCCGAGCTCCTTCTAACTTGGTCTATCAAAGATTATTGAATCTCCGTGATATCTGATGTGCGGTTGAGTCTATCAGGTGAAAACCACTAACTAATTTGGTTTTTGTTCTTCAAGGTTGTTAGATTTATTCCATACGTCTTATATGCGACCCATTAATTGGGGTCGGAAGTTGGCAGTTGTCTTTCTTATATGTTGGTATCTGGCTTGTTCGTAAGCACGTGATATATATATATATATATATATATATATATATATATATATATGCTAAAACCAGCAATAAACTACATTTTTATTTAAGATAGCTGATTTAAGGAACAGTTTATTTATCATCAATTAGCTTCGAAGTTAAAATATTCCGTTATTTAGAAACAAACAGGAAAC